ACCCAGAGTTTCCCCATATCCTGTATGGCTGGAAAGGCCTCCTAGTGGTTTGAGAGAGTTCTGCATGGCAAGTTCATGTGTGGGGCCAGCACCGACACAACAGGTTGAGCCACAGACTATCAGCATCCCAGATGGGTACACATTCAAGTTCCAGCTGCCTCACTTCTCATCCAGCTGTCTGCTAATTCACCAATGAAGGCAGTGGAGGATGGCCCAAGCCTTGGGTCCTTGCACTCACATGCAAAACCATGATAGAGTTCCAGCTCCTGGTTTTGGTCCCACCCCTCCCTGGTTGTTGCAACCATTTGGGGGATGAACCATCAGATGAAGGGCCTCTCTCTCTCTCTCTCTCTCTCTCTCTGCCCTTTACCTCCCTCTTAGTCTTTTTCCAAAAAAGTTGGGAGGGGGCGGTGCATAAGAACCAGAATCCCCCAGCTCCATAGGAATGACTGATGGTTTGCCCCTAACACACCTGGGCCAAGCCTGATCCATTAGAACTAGAGCTGGACAAAGTAAAGTAGTAACAGACAGATGGAGGTATTCTTAGGTGGTCTCGGGGAAGGCTTCAAGGAGGAGGGGGTGTGTGAGCTCACCATGGAAGGATGTGGGGATCCCTGCCCCTCTCTCATGTATGTGAGTCTGTTCCGAGATCTTGGTGGGACTGATGGCCTCCTCGGGAGCCAACTGAGCCTCTGTCCACTCCTTTGGTGGGAGAAAGAGTCCCATGCATGGGGAAAGGGAGGCTGACTACGCAAAGTCCGTAAAGGTCAGGCCTTCTAGGGCCAAACAGGCACAGAGGGCACACTTGGAGTTCAGGTTCAATACTGTGCCCTCAGCAGTACTGCTGTGGGCAGCCAGTCTGCTGGGCACTGAGGCAGGGCCAGCCAGCATGTGTATTGTGTGCATGTATGTATGTGTGAACTATGTGTGTGTATGTGTGCTGTGTGTGTGCATGTGTGTACGGAGGCTTCTAGATCTAGCTGGAGGATGTGCACCTTTTTGGTATTGGATGTGCTCATGACAGGCCCAAGCTGTTACTTCCTCCCCAGTCTCAGTTTTGAAGCTCCATCTGCTGCCCACTGTTGGAGCGACCTGACTGCCACATCTGTGTTGGACTCCAAGTCCTTACCCCACTTCTGTCTCCCTTCCTGGAATCTCCCAGCAGCTTTCCTCCTCCCACTCCAGGCAGGGTACATGATATCTGGGGGTCAGGGCTCTAGACTGTGACTCAGGCCAGCATGTTAGTGCATGCTGAGACACACACACACACACACACACACACACACACACACACACACACGTGTGCTCATGCACTGCTGTGAACCCTCCACCAACCACATGATGTTGATTCCACCAGCCTCACCTCCCCACTCTCCCACCGCAGCACCACTTCCCAGGGGAAACTGAGGCCCGGTGAGGTCAAGCAGCTTCCTTCAGGCATTAGAGTAAGTGAGGGGGAGAACAGAATCATGCCAGGGGCTTGGGGGCCCCATCAACTGTGCCCACAGGGGAGCCCTAGGGCCACAGAAGCAGATTCCTTCCTAGTAGAGAGGGGAGGTATGTGTGGCCAAGTGAGAAGCAGGAGAGCTGCAGCCCCATGGCATTGTCTGCCTGGCCTCTATTGGATGCCAATTGCTTCCTTATCTGCAGGGATGCTAACGAAGGTCGAGTGCTTGGGCCCTGTGCCAGGAGCCCTTGGATGCCTGACGAGGCTGTCATCACCCTTACATCTCTGCAGTCAGTGCTGGGTAGCTCATTCAGAGAACTGCATTCTCGTAATGGAAATCCATGGAGGGTCTACAGTGTGCCAGGCCTATCATGTGCCAGGGAGCAAGCAACATCCATGTACCAGGGAGCTGAATTCCAGCTGGAAGTCGCCACAGGCAGGTGCATGGGAAGTACTGTCAGGTGCTGAGAAGTGCTATACAAGCAAACGAAACAGGAAGGGGAGGGACAGATATAGGGAAGGTGGAGGGCCTGAGTGAAGACTGGGGAGAAGCATCTTTGCCCCTCTGGGAGGGGGCGTTCCAAGCAGTAGCAGGAAAAGCACGTGCAGAAGCCCTCACTGAAACAACAGCACAGGATCTTGCTTTTTTGCCAGGCTAGCTCCCTGCCCCCCTCTAGGGGGTTGGAGAAGGGCACATGGACCCAGTTCCCTAGTCCTTCCCCTCAAGCCCCACCGCCATCCCATGTCAGGTGCCCTTCTGGTGGCCTCTGTCCCCCACCCCCGTGACTCCAAAGGCTCTGGATAGCCAGCCATGAAGTCAGGATGGTGAGGGACAGATGGAACCAAGTGGCACTTAGCTACTCTTGGGTCTCTGGAGATGGTTAGTAGGGAGGAGGACAGTGGTATGACCTCCTGCACACTCCAGCTGATGTAGACAGTGAGCACAAGAGCTCCTGAGTCCTGGGGCCCTTTTCCAGCCCAGGGGCCCATGCATGGTGGTCCCTCCAAGGCTCAGCCTTGGGATGCATAGATCCCGGCTGTCCCTTTGGCAGCTTTGCAGGTCACAGAGGGAAGAAGCGGTTATGGGTCCTCAGCCTCAGTTCCAGTGTGTCTGGAGGTAGTGGGGTTCATGTCATCATGAAAATCTGAGAGCAGAACACTCAGATGCAGAATGGGAAGCAACTTGATCAGTGAGTCTGTATTAGAAACCTGCTACTTCTCAAGCAGATGGTTGGCAGCTGTATCCTGACCCCAGGTGTTAGCCTGGATTCTGTGGGCCTGGGGCCAGTCTCGCCCTTGGACTTGGGGGACACAGAGACCCCAGAGGTGACTGTGGAGTAGGCAGGAATGCCAGGTGCCAGTCAGGAAGGCTCCTCCTGACTCTGCAGACATCTTCCTGTCCTCCCTTGGATCTCTGCTGCCAGGTTCACCCTAGTCCCGCAGCCAGCACTTCCTGCCGGGACAGTTGAGTGTCAGGGAGGAGTTGCCTGGGGGGTGAGTTCTCCTAGGAATGATGGCCAAAGCCTGGGCTGCCCACAGGGACCAGGAGGCCACTGCTTTAGGGTTCCTGGAGGCTCCAAATGCCATTCCTACAATTGACCCTGAGGGCTTTTGCCAGGGTCCAGATCAGTTGCCTCCAATGAAAGGCTGAGCCACTGGACCCTTGCGGGTGAAGAACCAAGTGTGAATGGTTGTGGTCGAGGGGTTACAGACAGTGGGGCAGCAACAAAGGGACACCAGTTGCCTGCAGGGCCAAGGACCAGAGCAATTCCTCTGCCAGAGGCCTCTGCAAATTACTTATTTCAGGTTGCTCATGAGGCTTTCAAGGCTGCCTGGAGGGTGGACTCCCCCACACAAGACTGGATGAGAGAGATAGCCACGGAAAATAAACCAAAGCTTCCCAAGAGTGGAGCCCGAAGGGCTTCCTGGGTGAGGTGGCATTGGAACACAATTCAGATTTGCTTGTGCATGGATAGAGAGGACACAACTTGAGCAGAAGAGGGGAGAAGCAGTGGTGGCTGTGAGCCCTCACAACAGCGAGTTGTCAGGTCATGCTGCCAGCTGGGTCTTGGGAAGAGGGATCTTAGGGGACAGGGCAGTTCGGAATCACACCTAAGAGATCCTGCATATCACACTCGAAAGCGGGTTAGGTTTGGGTTTGTAAGTACCTGGAAGAGATCCTTTAATACTTGCACACTTGTGCCTTGAGTGGCATGACAGATGGAGTTTTCTTCTTTGAGTCTCAAAATCAAACCAAATGTCACGGCTTCCTGAGAGCCCAGCACTGTCTTTGCTCTGACTTCCATGTTGAAGACTGGGACTCAGAGAAGGGTCCCCAGGAAAGAGAGGAGAGGATCCAGAACCTCCACCCTCCATCATGGAGCCTCCCTGGCACCTACCCGTGTCCAGCAGGTGTTGTGTGGGCATGAGAGGATAACACAGTCTGATTGGTGCGCAGGAGACAAGAGCACTCCCCTGCCATGCTGGAGAGGGGACTGGCAGCAGGGAGGTGAGCTGGGGAGAAGGGAGACCCAGAGAGGCAGTTTGGTGTCATCATGGTGACAATAATGAGGCCAGAGTAGTGAAGGGCCTGAGGATGGAGGATGGCGCATGGATGAAGCAAGAGGTAGAAGTTGGATAGTGCTGAGTGCAGTGGTTTAGGGGCCTCTGGAGAGTCCTCACCTCTCAGAGAACGTGGTTCAAGTCCTGGCTGTTTCCAATTCCAGCTTGCTGCTACACGTTTACCCCTGCCACCAACCCAGGCTGAGTTCCAGGCTCCTGGCTTTAGCCTGGCTCAGCCAAGGCTGTTGCAGGCATTTGGGGAATGAACCAGTAGATGGAAGTCCCTGTCTTGTTGCCTTTCAGATATTTTTTTTTAAGGTGACATTTTGAAACTAATTGGTTTCCTGGGTAGGTGGGGAGAAGACCAACAGGAGGCCCATATACAGATGTTGGGAGCCTGTTGGTAAAGCCCTGGGGCCCTTCACCTCTGGGACGACTGGTGCTGTTGAGGCTGGGTCTGAGAGTGAGCAGGCTGCAGGATGGATTCCCATGGCTGGCCCTGCTGGCCAGCTCCCTGTGCCTGGAGTGAATTCCTGGCTCCAGTCCCTCATCTCCCCTTAATCTGAAAGGTGTAAGAAGTTACTGAGGTCAGACTGCCTGGCTCCAAGGGCCCCCAGTAAGGCCTACTTGAAGGCCTGAGTGCAGGATCAGTCCAGCTGAGGCTTGTGCCCAGCCCTGGATGCCCAAGACTTTGCAAAGTCAGCCCTCCCTGAGGCACTTTGGAGCAGAATGCAGATGCACGGGGGCAGGGAGACAACATGGCTACAGCTGCCTAGGGCTCAGACCCCTCTACCTCCATGCTGCATATAAGTAAGCATGGGGGAGAGAGGAGTGTGACACACCAGCAGAGGCTCTGCCAGGCCCAGGGCCCGTGGGAAGCAGGCAATGCCTGCCCAGGTCAGAGAGCCCAGGGCCAATGCCGCGGCAGAGCCCGAGGATCTGTGTACAGCCTCTTCCCTCACCCCTCTGGGCTTCTTTCCTCTGTTCCCAGCCTCCAGCCGCTCACACCCGGCCAGCCCCAGCCCGCCAGGGCCGCAAGCTAGCCCAGTGCTGCCGGTCAGCTACCGCCTGTCGCACACGCGGCTGGCCTTCTTCCTGCGGGAGGCCCGGCCACCACCACTACCACCCTCCGAAGCCAATGGCTCCCTACAGCGCTCCGAGCCCTTCGTGGTGTTCCAGACCAAGGAGCTGCCGGTGCTCAACGTGTCTCTGGGGCCCTTCAGCACAAGCCAGGTGGTGGCACGGGAGCTCCTGCAGCCCTCCAGCACGCTGGACATCCCCGAGCGCCTGACGGTCAACTGGAAGGTGCGGGCCTTCATTGTGCGCTCCCGCGTGCCTGCCTCACAGCCCGTGGCGCAGGTGCTTTTCTACGTGGCCGGCCGAGACTGGGACGACTTCGGTGTCACTGAGCGCCTGCCCTGCGTCCGCCTGCACGCCTTCCGCGATGCCCGCGAAGTCAAGAGCTCCTGCCGCCTCGCCGGGGGGCTGGCCACGTGTCTCGTGCGGGCCGAGCTGCCCTTAGCGTGGTTCGGACCCCCAGCACCCGCCTCTCCACCCTCTGCACGCCGCAAGGCTCCGGATGGGCTGGAGGCCGAGGCGGCCGGGGAGAGCCAGCAGGCAGAGCTCTATTATACCCTGCATGCTCCCGATGCCACCGGCGGCTGTGGTGGGGCCCGGCGCGGGCCGGTGCCCGGGGTTGGAGCGCGCTCTGAGAGCCCCACGCAGCACCCGCTACTGCGCATCGGGAGCATCAGCCTGTTCCGGCCGCCGCCCCGCAGGGCCCTGCAGGAGCACAGACTGGACAGCAACCTGATGATCCGCCTGCCCGACCGGCCCCTCAAGCCTGGGGAGGTGCTCAGCGTCCTGCTCTACCTGGCTCCCAACGCCTCTTCGGCCTCCAGCCCCAGCGTGGAGCATTTCACACTCAGGTATGGGGACTGTGGAGGGTGTGCAAGGCCAAATGGGCACCTGACTTGGTGGTGGTGGTGGTGGTGGGGTGATCAGCTACACCACTGGCTGTGTCTGGATCCCAGCTCTTCCACAGGTGGCTTGAGCAACCTCAGAAAGACACTTCACTGACAGGGGGATCTCAGGGTTCCCGTTTGTAATAGCAACCCAGGGAAGTAGAGTCCTGATAAAGGGGCCGGGGGGTTTACAAGTGTGGCTGTCCAGAATGATAGAGTCAGGGTTGGAAGGACCTTAGGACATAAGCAGGCGCATTTCTCCCATTCTGCAGATGTGGAGTCTGAGACCAAAAAAAAAAAAGAGGCATGAAAATAAAAACATAATTGCTTCTGGGCTGATGGCCAAAAGATGAATGGCAGTGTACGCCCACATGGACCTTGGACCTGATTCTGGAGTTAGAGGGACAGTTTCAGGCCTCTCCACTGTCTCTATACCTTGAGGGCACGGTTCATGAATTCAAGAAAGTGTTAGATCACAACACCCCAGGACACAGTGATGCCTCCTATAGGGGTCCATGCCCTGAGCCATGCTGAGTAACTCCTAGGATGTGAGGAAGTCCCCAAAACGTGCCTCTCCTGCCTCCCAGCACTGTAAGACGTGGAAGACCACGATGGACCTTGCGTCAAGAGTGGCCCTAACTCCTCACACCCCAACTGTTCCTGGAGTGGGTCAGGCCTAATCCAGGGCTCGGAGGCTGAGTGGCAGATAAGTGGCACCAATCTTCTGAGCTTGGGCTACACTCATGCGCTTGGAGCATGTGGGCTTGGGGGGGCTGGTCCTCTGCTTGCCCTGGTGTTCACTGGAGCCCAGCTGGCTCTGTGCCTTCAACAAGGACAATGCACCTGGTGTGCTGATAGCATCTAGAGTGGTAACTAGCCAGCAAGTGCCACAAAACTGCAGCCACAGCGTCTCCTGGAGGAACTGGAGAGTGGAAAGCATGGGAGGGGGCTCTAGCTAGCTAGAAAATTAGCCGTTAGCATGGGAGAGGTCGGAAGTGCTACCTCCGCTCTAGCAGAGGCCCTGCCTGGCTAGAGTGCCTTCTCATTCCTGTGGACCTTCAGCAAGATGCGTACAGAAGCCATGTCACTAAAGCAAGCCAGTGGGGAAGGGGCAGACCAGGCAGCGGGCTCTAAAAGGTGATGCTGTTTGCATTCAGCACACCTGCCTCTCCTCCCCTTGTCCCACAGCCTAGGGCTGGCGGCCAGGTATGTGGTCCTGGAGCCATTGCCTGACTCCATCTTTGTCATTTCCCCCAATCCTTTGTCCCAGGGTGAAGGCCAAGAAGGGTGTGACCCTTCTAGGCACCAAGTCACGGAGTGGCCAGTGGCATGTGACCTCAGAGCTACTGACGGGAGCAAAGCACTCAACAGCCACTGTGGATGTGGCCTGGGCTCAGGGCACACCCCTGCCTCCCTGGTGAGCATGAAGTGGTGCATCTGCAGGGGTGATGGAAGAGGCCTGGCCTGGGGGCAGGAGGGTGGCAGCTGGGACTTGCCTATTGGTCTGGGCTGCTGGGCAGTGTTCTGGGCAGGGTTCAGGGATCTAGGGGCACCTCAGGAAGACTGGATCCCACAGAAGGTGTCAGAGCCCTTGGCCTCCTCCCAGCCCATCTTCCTCTTCTACCTTCCAAAACCTGGCAGGGAAGGCCAGGGACCCCTGGAGATCCTGCAGCTGGACTTTGAAATGGAGAACTTCACCAGCCAGTCAGTCAAGCGGAGGATTATGTGGCACATTGACTACCGTGGCCACGGCGCTTTGCCTGAGCTGGAGAGGGCAGTCACAGAGCTCACGGTCATCCAGCGGGATGTACAAGCCATCCTGCCTCTGGCCATGGTGAGCGAGCCTGTGTGTGGGCTGCGGGGTGGGGTGGGCATGCCTGGCTGAGCATGTGCACAGATGCACAGATGTGTGTGTGTTTATGAGTGAGAGAGACTGCCTCCTATATCCAGATGTGTCTGATGGCAAAGTGCCTGCCTACACTCTCGGGAGGCAGGCACTGCTTGATGCCAACTAGTATAGACAGCAGGTGCCAGGGTGGACAGAAGTGGGGGAAGTTACCACGATGATTTCTGGAGGATGTGGCTCTGCAGGGGTGCCTTGAAGGTCATATGGAGGAAGTGTGGGACCTTCAGAAGTGACAGGGTAGGCAGGGCTCATCTGTGCCCAAATGCTATGCTGGGAAATGTGAGGGTTACCCCATGGAAGGTCATTTGGGCCCAGTCTCGGACACCATGGTGAGCGTGGGGGATATGCCCACTGGGGAGGTGTTGGGGACAAAGTGGCAGGCATCAGGGAAGGGCAGAGTGAGGTCTGCCTGAAGCTCCAGCAAAGTGTAAGAGAACAGACCCCAGTAAAGGCACTTGGGACCAGGCAGACACCTGTCCCTGCCTGTCACCCTGTCAGAGCGATGTGCTCCAAACCATGGGAGTAGCCAGGAACCAGGGCTTAGTGGGTGCGTTCCAAGAGACAAGACCACAAGCAGGGGCCCTCCCCTTCCCCTTCCTGCAGGACACAGAGATCATCAACACAGCCATCCTGACTGGCCGCACTGTGGCCATCCCTGTCAAGGTCATCGCCATTGAAGTGACCGGCATCGTGCTGGATGTTTCTGCTCTGGTGGAATGCGAGTCTGACAATGAGGATATCATCAAGGTGGGCTTCCTGGAGGCAGGGCCCCCTGCAGAGTCCAGGTTGCTCCCTCTCACTCATCCTTTTATTCTGATCTCACACCTCCCTTGCTCCCCTTATCCCAGGCGCCACCACAGCTTTGTGAGAGGGTGGGTTCCCAGAACCACTCCCTCACCCCAACCCGGGGTACTGCTCTGGTCAATCCTGGAGGGCTTCCTGTAGAATGGCCCAGCATTCTGGATTTGTTCCTTGCCAGAGCTTTACCCAGTGGGCAGAGGCAGGAGGGGGAAGAAGGCAGAATTTGAGTGTGTGGGGCTGGGGGTGGACAGCAAAGTGAGAGGTGACTAGCTCTGGCAACCATGGCCTGCAGTCAGCAGGTTTGACACGGAAGTGGTGCTGCTTGGAGGTGAGCAGGAGAGTGTGGGTGCAGGGACCCACTCTGCCTCCCTCTCTATCTGTTCTGCCTCTGGGTCCCTTGGGATCCAGGGAACCTGGGGAAGAACCTCCCACAGAGGAGCAGGGGCTCCATGCTGCACCCCATCACCTGCCTACGCCCTCACCCCGCCCCTCCTCTGCCACCCTGACTACCCCTCCCTAGGGCTGCCTTAGAGACCCTGGGAGGGTTTTAATGGAGTGTGTTCTGGATCTCAGTAAACCACACCTGGGTCTCTGTGGCATTGCCAGACTGCGGGTACACTCCTCTGCCTTCTCACATGGGAAATAAGCACTCCTGGTGGGCCCACACATCCCACCTACGCCTCTCCTCTGAGATGACAGAAGGGGCTGGCAGAGGCTCGGATGGCCCTGGGACTGCAACACACTCCCTGCCCACCTACCCACACCCACCCCTGCAGAGCCCACCCGCTGCATGAGAGACCTCCTGCTAAGCTCAAGGCGCCCACAGGTGAAGTGCTGGGACACACTTTGAGCATACATTTCCCTCTGGGTTGGCCCTGCAGCACTGGCAGCAGCCCCTGTCTGAGTGGGCACCACCATCTACCACCGAGACGTGTTCAACAGACCTGTGGTTTCTATGCCCAGAACCCCTAGCAACACAGTGTTGCAGTCCAGGTGGGCTGGCACACCCATCGGTGGCAGCCTCCCGCCTGTCCGCCTCAGATCCCCTGGCCAGGTTTCTTCTCTCCTATTTTCTCTCTTCTCCAGCCCTCTCTGCAGCAGCTTCTGACCCTGACATTAGCCACTGCGCATGCTGCTGGGGCAGTCACAACCAGGGAGGTGCAGGCCTACCCTTCCCCCAGCCTGGGATCCCCTTCTTCCTTAAAGGGGACCCAGCCACCTGGCTCCAGAGGCGTCGTTGTGAATGGGGGAGGGACCAGCCCCAGAGGAGAGTGGGTCCAGGGCTCTAAGCCTCCCACAGAGGCCGGAGGAGTGAAACAGGCAAGGAGGCCCTCTGCCCTTCCAAACACCTCCCCTCCTCCACTCTGGACACGTCTCCCTCCAACAGCCTCCCTGACCTAACTGTGGGACCCAACCCCCTGTCCCACCTGGTCGGGGAAGACCTATGGGACAGGATGTGCCGCCCTGCCTCTCCCCAGGTGTCCAGCAGCTGCGACTACGTATTTGTGAGTGGAAAAGAGTCTCGAGGGTCTATGAACGCCAGAGTCACCTTCCGCTATGATGTGCTCCAAGCCCCCTTGGAAATAACCGTCTGGGTACCCAAGCTGCCGCTACACATCGAGCTCTCAGACGCCCGCCTCAGCCAAGTGAAGGGCTGGAGGGTGCCCATCCTCCCCGACCGGAGGTACAGTGCGCATGTGCTGGGGACACTCACAGGGGACACAGCCTCGGCGCACATGTGCGAGTGACCCTGGGTAGGCAGGTTGGGCATCAGCAGCTGCCAATGTCCTGGGCAGCTGCCATGTGCCAGGCACTGGCAGGTGTTACGGCTGTGGGGCAGGTGTGGCTGCTGCCTGCTCCAACCCACTGCTGAGTGTCAGTGCTGTGCACATGGTGAACAAGACCAGCCCAGCACGGTGCTGCTGCACAGGTAGCCCTACCATGATAAGTCAAGACAGGTTTCTTGGAAGAATTGGTTGGCCCAGGAATCAGGGTGAGAGCTGTGAGGCAGCTAAAATGCAGCAAGCCTGTCAGCGCAGAATCAGACATATGCCAGGCCCCCATGCCCGAGCCTGGTTACAGCGAGGGCAAACTTCCAAGCACTAGAGTCCCTGCCCAGACTCCTTGCTGGGTGCAGGCTTACCCACCTGTGGGACATATATGTGAGCCAGCCTATTCAACCCCTCCACTCATGCCCTCCGAGCTGCTGGAGAGAAGAACCCAGCAGGGGCACGCAGGGAATGAAGGCAAACAGCTCTGAGCAGTAGCACGTGGGACTGGCAGGAGAAGCAGGTGGTAAGCAAAGCAGGTGGCCAAGGGAAAACCGAGCAGAGCTCCATTCAGTGGGGATCTGGGAAAGCTCGGGGGTGTGGACCAGAGCCCATTGAGCATCAGCGTGCATGGGAATTCTCTGTGGTCCTGTTAGACCGTGGCTTCCAGTCAGCAGGATGGGGCGAGTATGCCTTTGCCCAGCTCCCAGGTGATGGTCACGTGAGCACTATAGTCTGCCAGCCAGGTTAAATTCTGGCTCTGTGATTGGCTAGCTGCTGTATGGCAGTGACCCACTTATATAGCCTTTCTGTGCCTCAGTTTCCTCATCTGTGAAATCGGCAAGAGGCCCATGATAAGGGTTCAGTCGGTAGGTGACACAGATGCACAATCAATTTTGTGGGAATGATGTTACTGGCAGGTTGAACCTTCCAAAGCCCTAACAAAGCATTAGCCACAGAGAGAAAGCTTTCCCAGGTGTGCCTTCCTCCCACTGGGTTTCCTGCTTGGAGCATATTCTCTAAGCTGCACAGCCTGATAGCTTCCCAAATCATCAGCTCCAGGGGCCCTCTGGCTTGACAATCAGTACAGTTGCCCCCCTCGTGTCACAGTGTACAAATGGCAGCAAGAGAAGACCAGGCGGCACCTTGCTTGGCAATGTCCTCGGTAAAGTGTCCAGGTCACCTCCCCGCCAGCATGCTCTGCTCTTCACATAACCATAAGCACATTCAGCTGAGCTTGTTGGCATTCCCCATGGCCAAGATCGTCTTTGCTACAGTTTAGAGTTTAGCAGTGTGCCAGGCATACACTCAGGGCTGAAACAGGCAGTCACCGTTGGGGTTTGACGTCAGCTATTCCCAGATGTGGAGGAAGCCAAGCAGACCGGGGGAGGAGTAAGAGAGGATTCAAAATGGGTTTTTCTAGAAGCAAAAAGGCTGGGACACCTGGCTGAATGTTTACCACATGGAAAACGTGAACCAGGAGGAGACTTTCCACCCAAGGGAGCTGGAGAGATGCCACCCGGTCAAGGGCAAGGGTAGAGACTGGTATAGGTCAGCCCAGGGTCAGGAGCTCTTGGCCCGGCCAGCCCAGACTCTGTCATGCCTCTGTACCAGGTCAGCCCGGGAGAGTGAGGACGAGGATGAGGAGGAAGAGGAGCGGCGGCAGAGCGTGAGCCGGGGCTGTACCTTGCAGTACCAGCATGCCACCCTGCAGGTCTTCACCCAGTTCCACACCACCTCAGCAGAGGGCACTGACCAGGTGGTCACCATGCTGGGCTCGGACTGGCTGGTGGAGGTCACTGACCTGGTCAGTGACTTCATGCGGGTAGGTGACCCCCGAGTGGCACATTTGGTGGACAGCAGCACGCTGGCAGGCCTGGAGCCAGGCACCACCGCCTTCAAGGTAGGCATGAGCTCTGTCCTAGCACACGGGCAATGTAGAGTGCCTTGGTGACTGGGGAGGGGAGGGAAGATATCCCCAGAGCTTGAGCCAGTCCCCAGCAGGCGCTTCCTGCCAGGAACTTCACCACCCATGGTCAGGCTTTTCCGGCATCCCTTTGCTGAAGGCTCCCACCCCTTACCTGATCAGCTTTGTAGATTCCGGCAGAGCCCTCCAGCAGTTAGAGCTAGCGGCGGGAGAGCAGGTGTGAGCCAGCAAGAAGGCAGACTCTGGCCCTGGGAGCACAGTGGTGACTGTCACCTCTCACAGTGGAAGCTATCCACCTAGCGGACTACAAAGGGGCACCTGGAGGTGGGGATTTGTGTTCTGTTGAGGAAGTAACTGATCCAATGTGTAACAGTTGGGATGCTCTTCATTGAACAACAACAAAGAAAGACCAGACTGCTGGTATAACCCTGGACATGAATTCCCACCTGGCAATATTTAGCCCATATATTGGTGCCCCTTTTTGGGGTGCATGCCTTCACCCCTTTGCCACAGTCCTCACCATTCCCTTTTGCCTCCCTGACTGTGGCACTGGGCAGCCATTGCTGCTTACCACTGTGCAGGCATCATTTTCTCCTTAAACTCCCCTGTATCATATGTGTGGCTGGCTGGCTCCTAGGAGCCTCTGACTCTCTGGGGACCCATGGACCCTGGATCCCCACTGTAGACCCGAGTCACAGCCAGCAGTCCCACCTTCCTGCCTGCCTTGTCCCCTGGGCCCCTCCTCCAGCAGCACCAGGATTTCCCCCTGATACAGGGACCCTGGGTCGGGGGCTCTCCCAGGCCTTCCCACTGCCCACCCCTCTCTGCCTCAGGTGGTGTCCCCACTGACGGAGGCCGTGCTAGGGGAGACGCTGCTGACAGTGACGGAGGAAAAGGTCAGCATCACACAGCTGCAAGCCCAGGTGGTGGCCAGCCTGGCCCTGTCCCTGCGGCCGAGCCCCGGGAGCAGCCACACCATCCTGGCCACCACGGCCGCTCAGCAGACCCTCAGCTTCCTTAAGCAGGTAACGAGCCACCTGGGCCTCCTCCCACCCCAAACTGGAGCCTCTGGGGTGCAGAAAGAGGACTCACCTGTCCCACTCCATCTCCCTGCCCTCTGCTTGGGCTGCCTGGGCAAGGTCTCACCTGCTGGCTTTGCCACCCTGAGCAGTGTCCACTGGTCCTCAGAGGGTGGTCACTCTTGCCCCATGAGCGGCCAGTATCCCTACCTGACCCTGGAACTCTAAGCACACACATAGCACAACCCTGCCACGGGCCATGGGGTCAGGTGCCGAGCCGGGAGTCAGGACTTGGGCCATCTGATCTTGCCAGGCTCTAGTTTCTCAGCAGTAAAGGGGGACTCTCAGGAGGTTGGGGCCAGTGGAGGAGGTATGTGTGTGTGTGTGCATTCTCCAAAGTCAGCTGTCTAAGGAAGGTGAATCCAAGGTCAGGCGTGGATGTGGGGCTAACCTGCAGCACCTAGAGACTTGAGTTAGACCCAAGGCAGAACCTATCTTCCATTCATCAAAGGGATTTCGGTGAAATTGGTTAAGAAGCCTTGGGCAAAAAAAAAAAAAAAAAAGCAGCAGCAGCCTTGGGCAGTTCAAAATCTGGAGGTTGTAACCTGTGAGCAGGACTCACTGCAACAACAGTTCCTGAGGGCTTGCCGCCAGCCAGTCAAGGGCCAGAGACCCTTGAGGGTCTCAGCTTCTTAACAGGGCAGCCCAAGGAATAAGCACCTAACTCCTGTCCCTTTTCCCCTCCTCCAGGAAGGCCTCCTGAGCCTCTGGCTCTCCTACAGTGACGGCACCACAGCGCCACTCTCTCTCTACAGCCCCCGTGACTACGGGCTGCTGGTGAGCAGCCTGGACGAGCATGTGGTCACCGTGACCCAGGATCGCACCTTCCCACTGGTGGTGGCCCAGGCTGAGGGAGCCGGGGAGCTGCTCCGGGCGGAGCTCAGCATCTCTGAGAGCTGTCAGAAAACCAAGCGCAAGAGCGTGCTGGCCACTACCCCCGTAGGCCTGCGGGTGCACTTCGGGAGGGACGAGGAAGACCCCACTTATGACTACCCTGGCCCCAGCCAGCCGGGACCCGGTGGGGGCGAGGATGAGGCCCAAGGAGGCGGCCAGTCAGGCACTGCACACCCCGCTCCAGGGGCCTCAGGCCAGGGAACCAGCAGCCCCATGGCACCGCCCACTGAGGACTTCCTGCCACTGCCCACGGGCTTCCTGCAGATGCCCCGAGGGCTGACCGACCTGGAGATTGGCATGTATGCCTTGCTGGGTGTCTTCTGCCTTGCCATCCTTGTCTTCCTCATCAATTGCATCGTTTTTGTGCTGCGCTACCGGCACAAGCGCATCCCGCCTGAGGGCCAAACCAGCATGGACCACTCTCACCACTGGGTGTTTCTGGGCAACGGGCAGCCACTGCGTGTGCAAGGGGAGCTCTCACCACCTGCTGGCAATCCGCTAGAGACGGTGCCCGCCTGCTGCCATGGTGACCACCACAGCAGCGGCAGCTCACAGACCAGCGTCCAGAGCCAAGTGCACGGCCGAGGTGATGGCTCCTCTGGCGGCTCCGCCCGGGACCAGAACGAGGACCCTGCCAGCTCACCCACCTCCAAACGAAAGCGGGTCAAGTTCACCACCTTCACCACTCTGCCCTCTGAGGAGCTGGCCTATGACTCGGTGCCTGCCGGAGAAGAAGATGAGGAGGATGAAGAGGACCTGGGTTGGGGCTGCTCAGAGGTGGTCGGCTCCACGAGGCCCACAGCACCCCCAGACCTGCACAATTATATGCGCAGAATCAAAGAGATCGCATAGGCGCTGGGGAGTGGGTTGAGGGAGGGGTGCAGTAACTGCTCCAACCCCCAGACCCCGGCTCACCCAGGGCAGGCAGCTGGATGGATTTATACTTCCTGCCCCTGCAGCTTTGCCCAGCCCTGCTCACAGCTACCCTCTTCTGCCCTCTGCAGGTGGAGGGCCCTCCCTCCTGTGGCTCGCAGGGAGGAGGGCCACCCTAATCTGCCTTGGTGTGGTCCTTCCCAGGCTGCTGCCCTCAAGAGGGAGGGCAGGTGGCCCCACCTGGGGCAAAAGGGTTGGGGCCCACACTGTGCTCAAGCCCTCACCTTCCCTCCCTCCCACCCTACCCCTGTGAAGGGGGCTTTGGGGAAGTCTTGAGGCACACACTGCACCAAGATTTTTCTCAAACCAATATTCAGGGATTTCCGTCCTGCAGGGTGGGAGGTGCAGCTGCCTGCCCTGCTGAGGATCTTGATGTGGACAGGACTTGGGGCAAGGAGGCGGGCATGGTGGTTGGTTGTAGCATCTGCTGGCTTCTGAGTGTCTCCTAGGCTGCCCCTGGGAGCTGATTCTACAAAGGGAGCTAGTGCCACATCAGGCACCTCCCTGAGTTCTCACCCTGCTCTGAGGGCTGTGGGCAGGGACCCTAAAGGGAAGGTTTCTGGGTCCCTCTCCAGCCAAGCCGCACCCCAGAGCGCCTAGGTCCACAAAGGGCCTCCGATGTCCCACCCCACCCCCCAGCAGGGTCAACACTATTGCGCCTTAGCCATCTCCAATCTGCTGACCCGTCCCTTCCGCAGCGGCAGGGCGGGCAGCACCCACCCCTCACAGGACAGAGGCTGGGGATGGGGCAGGAAAGGTGCAGGCACACTGCGAGGGACCTTGGGGTGGGCACCTGCCCAGGGGAGCTGACAACTCCCCTTCCTCACCCCACAGCCTCTTTCCCTTCGGGTTCTACCCACCACTGTGTCAGATATTTCTTAAATAAACGGGGCCGTCAGACTTGGGGTGGGGGCGGCAGCTCCCAAGAAACAGAGAGCACCTGGTGGCTGGCTCGGACTCTTTCTTGTATGCCTGGGCAGCATGCGTGGACACACACGCACTGGTTGTGCTGTGGGAGGCCAGTCTGAGTCCTGTTCTTTGCCCCTACCTGCAGGCCTCTGTCTATAGGGGGATACTATATATACGGGGGATACATCACCTGATACTATAGCGGATGCCCACCTCAAGTGGTGACGCATCTGGTGACCTTACAATGTGCCCTAAGAAGAGGGCTCCGCTAGGAGTTGGTCATGATTGACTCCAGGGAGGGAGTGAACGAGGTGCAGACCTTAGGCCTTGCAGGGACAAGGCTGTGGCCCAGAGGGCACAGGAAGAGGAGGAAGGGGAAGTGTTTGCTGACTGGGTTGACTCAGTCTCCCTCGCTGCCTCTGCTCACCTCTCCTCATCATAATTCACAGGAAAACCTTCCTTTCCTCCCCACAGGGTGGATGGGGAAACTCAGGGGGCTTTTGATTACAACAGGTGTACCCACCCACCAACAGGCTGGCAGCCTTGACCTTGGAGTGTGCTTCTGGTCTCCCATGGCCTCTCATGGCCAATCCCCAACACAGGGCAGCAGCCCAGGGACACGAAGGAGCTCCAGATCTGAAAGGGGGACCTTGTGTGGTGCCCGTGGACAAGTGGCTACTGTAAATGTAGAGAAACGGGAATGAACAGAAGCCAGCTTCTGTCCTGGAAGTAGCTGGTAGCATTGCAGGCTGCACAAGCAACTAACTGCCCAAACAGATATGCAAGAAAGGAAGCCTGACCTGCCATGGTCACCCACTCAACTGATAGGGGCCACCATGGGAGTGGCACGCTCTGCCTGGTCCCAGGCGGCAGGTACACATCTAGCCCAGGCCTGGAGGGTCTCAGTGAAGGAGTTTGCCACAGCTGGGTAAGGTGTAGGGACAAGGGTAGGGCTGTTGGAGAGCCGTGTCCAGGTCACAACCACAAGGTCCTCCCAGGAGGGCTGTCCTTGAGTTTGCAGAACACTATTCATGGCTATTGGCATCTGCCATGACAAGCTCCTAGAAGGTCAGGGTTAGGGTCATCTTAGTCATTCTGCTTAACCCCCAGATGCTGGCTGGCTGAAATCTAGGTGTTGAGTATAAGTGGTATGCACGTGATCTCACTTCAGGGCCTGCCTGTGCTCTGCCATCTTGTGATCTCTCTGCTACAGGAGTGAGATGTAAGCCAGGGAGGGCTGCTAGGGGTGGGGGTATGCAGGGGGCAGCTTGGTGTTGAAGTTGGAACATGGAGCCACTGGTTTATTTAACACATGAAGCTCCTACATGCACAGAGTCTGGGGAACAGTCTTGAGCCAGAACCACAGACGGGGAGGATAGGTCAGACGTGCATCCTGCTGTGCCCTGGGTTGGGGGAAGAAGTGAGGCTCCCCCATACCGCTGTGGCAGCTTGGGAAGGACAGCCAGGGAAGCTCAGGAAGCAGAGGCCCAGGGTTGCTACGGCGCCCACCACACCTGCTTTGGCAGCCGGGTCCCCGCACTTGCTCTCCTGCAGATGGAGTAGCAGTTCCTGATGAGGAGAAGCACACATGAGGAAGATGCAGTGGCCGGAGTGGGGCAGACTCAGTGTGGGCCTGGGAAGCAAGCTCAGACTCAAGGTCCTGCTATTTCCCTTTGTGGGGAAGGACACAGCACAGGGACAGTCAGAAGAGAGGGCTGAGGTAGAGGATAGGTGGCTGCAGGCTTCATCCCCATGCCTGATGCCATGCCAAGGATAGTGGGAATGAGACGCACTGCACCTCCGGGTGAAATCAGGAAGGACCTGTGAGCAGGCACTTGCAGGACAGAGGATGGATGCTCAGGTAAAACACACCTTTGGCTGCAGGAAATGGGCCCAGAGAGGAGCAGCCGTAGGTCAAAGACACACAGCAAAGCTTGGAGCAGAGCCGAGCTGCGCCACCCTCCTTGTAATTTGTGTCGCTTTCTCTCGATCCCTCACTCACCCATCCAAATGGGAAAACCAGAAGCAATCACAGGCGACAGCAGCACCTGACCCCGGTGGAGTTCAAGTGGGCCCGGGCTCGGCAAGAACGAGGTGGGACATTAAGTTAACAGCCTCTCTGGAATGGCCCTGGCTCTCAGCGCCTCTTTGAAAATTTGTCTTCAACCCTGGAAACGAATCGAGGGACTGTGGAAAGAATCGTTATTGGCGGGGAGCTGCTCGGGGGCACCGGGGAGCCAGGCCCATGAATCAGCTCACCAGCAAAATGAGATTTCTCAGACGAGCAGGATGAGAGCAGGCAGGGAAGAAGCCACTGCAGAATGACGGGGGTTGCCTCCACCAGCTCCACCCTCCCTCCACGCCAGCCCCGGACACTCCTCCCTGCCAGCCCTTACCCACACTGACCTAGTGCCCACTGTTTGGGGTGCCGTGTTGCCCTTAAGGCTCTGGGGGCAGAGGGAGAGGCTTGGAAACCAGGGAACTGCAAGTACCGAACTAGTCTAGAGGACTGACTTCTAAGACAAGCCCTGCCAAGATGACTGAGGGCTAGCTGCATCTAGCCACTACATCACCAGTTCTAAGACCTTGCCACCTCATAAAGGACAGCACAGACATCACCATCAACCCTAGGCATCATCTGCCACCTCCCTGAAGTGGCCCCACTTGGATTCCTACCATGAGTTTTGGGAATTACGGGCCAGACAGCACCTGTGGTGCCCTCCATCCTCACAGCTGGTAGCTCGCAAGGGGTGAAGCCTTGGTCTCACTTGGCTCTCGCAGATCACACTGGCCTTGCCCCAACATTCCTAGAGGGAAAGCTGCTGTGGGGAGGGAGTTAGGGTTGGTCTCCTAAGCTTCACTGTGTTTCCACTTGATGCTGCCTGTGTTAGAGGGTTTGCTATGTTGGGTTCAGACAGTCATGGGTCAGGGACAGAGATCGCCATTATCCCTCACTATACGTGCCAGGCAGGCTGGATGAGCATCTTAATGCTGAGATAGAGCATCCTCAGGCATGGCAGTCTAAAGGGAGAGGACCAGGCCATGTCCTCCAAGGGCTTCCAGTCTGGAGCAGATATTCTCTGGGGACTCCCACTTCTACAACTGAACCTCTGCACCCTAGTCAAGAGCCAACTGTGCCACCCTATTCAGAGGGCCTTCTAGCCCAGGAGTCGCACGACCCCGCTTGGGTGCTGGACCAGGCTGCAATCCTTCCTGCTACATCCATGTGGCTGCAGGAGCCCCAGCTCTATCAGTCTTCCTGGGCAACCATGGGCACAGCCCCAGCCCTCCTTGGGCCCCACTATGGGGCTAGGAAGGCCCTTTCCCTCCCTGGGCATTCCTGGTACATCCCAGCAAGGTGGGCGCTGCCAGCCAGGGATGAACAGGCACAGAGGGTAAGTGAGCCCTCCAACAGCAGTGGCATGGCCCCAGCCCAGCCTGAGCTTCATTTCCACCGTCGACTTAGAGGCTGAGGTTCTGCTCCAGGTTCTAGTGTACCCATGAGCTCTCTGCAGAAAGGACTCTTGTCCACTTGCGACAATGACCTTCAGGGTCCTTGTTTTGGAGCTTGTTGAGGGGAGGGGACCTGGGAGCTTGTTGATCCCATACTTGAAATGACAGTCACCCAGCCCTCAGAAGAATGCCCATTTACATGCAAGCCAACTCTGAGTTAATTACAAAGATTCTTATCTGTTCATTAAAGCAGTCCAGTGGCCTCTATTTGGAAACACATTGCAGTTGAAAGGGCTGTGTCATTAGAGCTAATGGCATGAGTTATCTGGGGCCCGTGCCTGGTCATGGATAACTTGGGGCCTGAAGCCTAGATTCTCAGGACAGGGACTCTCTGCCTGGGAAGAAAGGGACAGAAATCCAGGAGTGACAATCAAAAACCCTCTCTGGTGGGAAGCAAAGCCCTCCCTGACTGGGAGCAGGCCATCTGAAGCAGCTGGAAGGAATGGGCCACCTGGGGATTCCGGCCCACCTGACCCAGACACCAAAAGCAGCAGGACTGACATCCTACAGGTTTGGTCCCATGTCTATGAAAGGGGAATAAGACAGTGCCTGCCTCATAGTGTTGCTGTGAAGATTCGATGAGTAACTGTGTGAGAATAGCAGAAAATACCTGT